AGCCTAAAAGTATGCTATATAAATGCTAAAGATAAATATGGACAAAAATCATTGTACATATGATCTAAAGGCTAGTATATATACAATGTTAGAGTCATGTGTAAAGCTGCATTTTTATACCCTCTACCATTAATGATATGGAGGGTATATTAAGTTCGTTATTCCATTTGTAACTCATCAAAATAATAATTTTAGACCTAACAAAGTACATACATTCTTGATCAGCGTAAAATTCTAAGACGATTTATTCCTGTCCGGTCGTCCGTCTGTTGTAATCACGCCAGAGTCAAAACGAATTAAGATAGGAAGCTAAATATTTGCACAGATCAGTCTTTTGCCTGCAGGCATGTCAATTTCGAAGATGGACTATATCAGTCCACAATATCATATAGCCCCCATATAAAGGTATCCCCGATATTCGGTATTTTGATGATTGTAGCCAAATGTTTCAAAGTAATTGCCTGAAAATCCACACAAGGAGTTGCTTGTGAGTACTTTACCCCCTGATGCAAATGTTAGGATTTACAAAGTTGGAGCAAAATCGGATTATCCATTCTCTTTTGTGCAGTAAAATATTTTTGAACATTTCTACCTTTTTTGCCCATCTCCGAACTCGATCTAACTTTGATAATAATTTTACGATGTTCCAAGTTTAGACCAAATCGGATGCTCCCTTATCGTGCGCACTAGTACTTTACATCCTTAAAGAAAATTGTCTATATAGGTCCACAATATCGTACATCCTCCATATAAGGGTACCTTCAGATATTCGGCATTTTGATGATTGTAGCCAAATTTTTCAATGTAATTGTTTGAGACCCAAACAAGAAGTTCTTTCTTAGCACTTTACCCCCTGGAAAAGTATTGTCTATGTAGGTCCTCGATATCATATAGCCCCTATATAACGATACCAACGATATTCGGTATTTTGATGATTGTAGCCAAATTTTTCAATGCAAAATCCACACAAGGAGTTCCTTCGGAGTACTTTACCGCCTGAATATGTATTGTCTATATAGATCCACGATATCGTATAGCCCCCATACAACGGTAGCCCTACTATTCGGTATTTTCATGATTTTAGATACATTAATCACCGGAATTGTTTCAAATTTTGTATTTAGAGTTCGTAATGAGTATTACAGTCTATGACAGAAAATTGTCTATGCTGGTTCAGTTCTTCGTATAAACCCATCGGTACCTCTCTATATTCCGTACTTTGACGATTTTAGCGACATTATTCACCTGCATTGTTTCATATTTCGTATTTACCTAATGGGTACTACAGACAGTGACAGAAAAATATCTATACAGGTCCAGGTATACGTATAGCCTCTATATATCGGTTTCGTATTTAATGTAATGGCTGACATAAATTGCCTATGCAGGTCGACGTTTTCGTATAGACACCAATATAAGGGCGATATAATCGGAATTTTTAAGATATTAACAGAGTTTAATTAAATTTGTCATTCCATTTGTAACACCTCGAAATGTACATTTTAGACCCCACAAAGCATAAAATTCTATGTCGATTTAGCGATGTCCGTCCATCTATCCGTATGTCCATCTGCCCGTCTGTGGAAATCACTTTAGCTCCCGAACGAAATGAAGTAGGATGATAAAATTTTACTCATATGTCTGCAGGACTTTTGGTATTGAAAATGGGTCATGTAGGTCCATATCCATGGATACTACAGCCTAAGACAGAATATTGTCAGTGCAGGTCCACGTTTTTGTATAGCCCCCATATAACGGTACCTCCCGATATTCGTTATTTTGATGATTTTAGCGACATTATTGACCGGAATTGTTTCAAATTTCGTATTTGAAGTTCGTAATGTATACTTCAGGTTATGACAGAAAATTGTCTGGGCAGGTCCATGGTTTTGTATAGCCCCCATATAACGGTTTCCCCGACATTTGTTATTTTGACGATTTAAGCATCGTTATTCACCGGATAACATTATTCACTAAGGCAGAAAATTGTCTGTGCAGGTTCACGTCTTCGTATAGGCCCAATATAACGGTACCTGCCGATATTCGGTATTATGATGATTTTAGCTACATTATTCACCGATTTGTTTTCTCAAGTTTAGCATGTGAGTATCCTAATGGCTTTTTACAAAAGTTGTCCGTGCAGGTCCACGTCGTCGTATAGACCCTAATATAACGGCTACATTCGGTATTTTAAAGATTTTAATATAATTTTTAACGGATTTTATTTTTTGAAAATTGGCGAATTTGGTGCAAATGTCCACCATTCAAAGATCGGCCCGCCGAACTTACAGCTTTTTTACTTCTTCTTTTTTATTTTTTTTTGAAAATTACCAAATTCATTCTAATTGGTGGAGGGTATTCAAAGTTCAACCCGGCCGAACTTACAGCTTTTCTTCTTTTTTTTTTTTTGAAAACTACCAATCTCCTCCTAAATATGGGAGGGTATTCAAAGCTCCGCGCGGCTGAACTTACTGTTTTTTTAAATGTTTACATTTATTTTAAGCATTTTCATAACATAATTTAAGGCGCTTCACAGAATTTGTTAACTGAAAGGAAATGCTTCATAGTATATATAGATATATTCATAGTATAAGTGTAATATACGTTTGTTATGTACCTTGTACTGTTTACATTTCATAGGGTAGAACATTTAGTTTAACATTAACAAGTAAGCAAAGGCTATAGTCGTGTGGGGCCGACCATTTGATACCCTATAACACTACAACCCCTTTATGTCCAAGTCCATTTTGGAAGATTTCGCTTTTGAAATTATGTCACGGAGCACTGCCCAGATATTACTAGCATTTTGACCAGGGACATTTAACCAATATTTACGAACTTCGTCGTGCTGTTAGTTGTAGTGGTCCATTTTACAGCTAAATATAATCCAATGGCCATACATAATGCTAGACTTCTTCCCTGTCCCTAACTTTCTTCTCAGGCGTGTCGATTGGCTTCAATTGTGTGAGGAAATTTTCCCTGTTTTTGAATGTTGTGCGATTATCTCCAAAAGCAAGAGGTCCCTCTGTATTTCTAAATTTAGACTCATCTATATGATTTGCTTGTCTAGGATATTTGGCTATATTCGTCAACGAAATCAGCAAAAAAGGCAGAAGTTCGCATTTTGTGTATTTCGGATATCGCCTGTAAGTAATGTTGGTATTTCTCAGACAAAATAGTGGTCAATTCTACCCGCTGTCCTAAACTCTAACTTCATGCGAGATTTCGTGTCCTTTGGTTTCTATTTATGGCCTTTATAATGGTTGCAAAATTAGGAACATTTTTAGTTGTTGGTCCATTTCAACCCCTAAATATATTGCGGACATCTTTGAAAACAATAGGCCTAGATCGGATGATAATTGCAATCTGTATATAATATCCCAAACCTGTGTTGTAAGGTGGAAAAATATTACAAAATATACACTTCAATATTAAAAGTCAAATTTAAAAAATCGCAAGCGATAAAAAATATGAAAAAATAAAAAAAATGTCACAAAATTCTACAAAATCTATATCAACATCATTATTGGCATCTTTTTATGCGATTTTTTTAGATTTTATTCCTTTATGCCAAGAAGGCATTCTGAATTGATAAAATTTGTCAAAATCGGTCCAGCCATTCTTGAGATATAAACATTCCAGCTTTCATCCCTTTCCTTTGTATATACACATTGTATGTATTTCGCTATATGTATCCGATATATCTACTATTGGCAGCTACGTAACGGTCAGAGTTTACCTGTTCGTCTATTTGTGATTTCGCCGGGATTAAAAATATTCGCGGTTTAATGGAAAATTTGACTTTTATTTAACACAAATGTTATGGTCTATTTCAGCCACTAAATATTACCCGATGACCATCCAAATTGGAAGGCTTCTGCCAGCCCCAAGCTCTAGCCCCACGCTAACTTCCGCTTTGATTGGTCTATAATTGCGACTTGTAGAGCAACTGCAAAATCAGGATTTTTTCAGTTTTTGGTCCATTTCAACCCCTAAATATTATGCGATCATATCCGAAAGAAATAGGGTTCTATTCTGACATTAACCCCACCTCCATTTTCAATTTCGTGAGGATCGGTTCATAATTGCGACCAGTAGAGTGATTACAAACTAACACGGACAGACGGACAGACGGACGGACGGACATACATAGCTAGATCGACTCAGCTCGGCGAGATAGGAAGATCCATATATACTTTCCTATGTGGGTATCCAATATTTCGAGGTGTTTCATAATTTTTGGCCCAATCAAACTTTTAATACCCCCAACACATAGTGTTGTAGGGTATAAAAATTTCCGAAAGGTCTGTTACAAAATCGTTTATTTTAATATGTTAAAAAATATCACTTTACATATAACTAACTGAAAACTGGGCTTAACTTGATATATGATCAAACCTTTGTAATAACAATTTCCCCACATCCATTTATGTTCCAAAAAAAGGTTCAAAAGGTTCAAAAGGTCATTACAACCAAATTCTTCACATTAACTTGTTTCCTGCAATCAAGGAATTTAATGTGAATGTCCTTACCTTTAATCCCGCTTGGCGTTAAGTTCATTCCTTCCCAAAGTATTTTTCTTTGTTTGATAATTAAAGTATTTAAGAGAAAAATATTTCACTTTAAAAAATGCTAAATACTTTAACATCCTCACACAAAAATCTTGCCAAGTCCGCAAAAATGCCTTAAGTATCAACTGCTGGTTATCGCTTAACCTTTAAGCTTCTTAAGGAGGATGCTAAAGTAAAAATGCAAATGTGATAAATGAAAACAAAGAGGAAAACATTAAAAGACACATAAGAATGTCCAACAGATACTTTAAATGAGACCGCAAAAGTTTGGTCATAAACTTTTTTAATTAAAAATTGTCTTGGCCAAGATGATCTAAGAAAGTTGCCGTTCTAAAATATTGTATTTCTTTTTTTCAGAATATTTTTCTTCTCCTTACTTTGCAATAATCACAAGAATTTTTGTCTTTTGCTACATTTTCAGATAGCAAACGAACGGAAGACATACAATCAAACAAAAGAGAAAAAAAAACGAAACCTGACTCCAATCATTGGTATCGTTATCACGACGTGCTCATGTTGCTGTTGCTGCTGCTGATGCTGTTTGCATAAACAAAAGACCAAGGAGAATTGAAATAATTTTAATTTATTGAATAACAAATTTCCTGGAGCATTCCCACAGCGAGGGAGAGGCCAACTCAAAATAGAAAACAAGGCGGAAAGCAATGGCCAACTAGGATAACTAACTTCTAACAATTCCGACTTCTCCTCCTCCTCCTCCTCCTCTTCCTTCTCGCCACCAAGTGGTCGTGACAAACATCTCAGCGTTTCAATCAAATTTCCACCTTCATTCGTTCTCTCGTTTGCCTTGGCTTTGGGGCAAACACTTTGACAGAGAGTTATTTCACCCAACATTGTTTTGCAAATTGCCATTGCAGTGAAATTTCATTCATTGATAATGCCCGGGACATGTCAACGCCTGCGTCTGCCCTCCCTGACATCGGTGCTAAAGTCAACGCGTGCCAACAGTGCGGACTATCCCTCGTCGTCGTCATCAGCAGCATCGTCGGGTAACAAACGTTGCAACACCACAACAACACACTCATCCGATTTAATACGCAAACAACAACATCGCATTGTCGTTATGGGCGCTGCTAAGGTCGGCAAGACTTGCATCATCTCTCAATTCCTCTACGACAAATTCAATCCCCGCTACAAACAGACAGTCGAAGAATTGCATCGTGGCGAATACGATTTGCCCGATGGCTCAGCATTGACACTGGACATTCTGGACACATCGGGTTCATATGAATTCCCTGCCATGCGAACCTTGTCCATCAGCTCAGGAGCAGCATTCATCCTCGTCTACGATGTGAATGACATTGAGTCATGGTATGAGGTGGAACGATTGCGCAATTTAGTAAGTATAGAGCATGTTCGATGTTGGGAAATAGTTTTTTGCAGGAATTTTGCGTTCCACACCCAAGGCTGCGGGGTGCATTTAAAATGAAATTTATAAGCAAAAACATGGGCAGATCTAGGGTATTCTGCTGAAATTATAAAAATTCGAGGAAATTGTTGTTGTTTGATAGTGGAAAGAAGAGTATTTAATTGAAATGTTTTGAACGACAAGAGGATTGAAGCTTATTAAAGACCAAGTGGTGAACTTCTTGTATTTCTAGAAGACCAAGTGGTGGTACGCGTAGAAGTCCAACTGGTCTTCTTCTAGGCCAAGAAGATCGAGTGGTCTCCACTCAATAAAAGACTAAGTGGTCTTCCATTTAGGAAAGTCGAAGTCGTTTCCAATCTAAAGTAAACAAGTAAAAAAGTAGCTAAGTTTAGGACAGGCCCGAACTTTTTATAGCCTCCACTAATCGGAGGAAACTAAAAAATTAAAAAAAAAACGCCGAAAAATACCGCTAAAATTAAAACCTTTATATGGAAGCTATACAAAGATGTAGTGCTGCACAAGTAATTTTTTGTCATAGGCTGCAATAACGCTTCCGAACTTTAAATACGAAATTTGAAGGACTATACGAAGAGGTGGACCTGCACAGACAATTTTCTGTCATAGGCTGTAGTATCAATTACGAACTTCAAATACCAAATTTGAAACGATTCCAGTGAATACTGTCGCTAAAATTATCAAAATACCAAATATCGGGAGGTACCGTTGTAAGGGGGCTATACGAAGGCGTGGACCAGCACAGACAATTTTCGGTCCTAGACTGTAGTATCCTTTACGAAGTTCAAATACCAAATTTGAAATGATTCCGGTGAATAATGTAGCTAAAATCATAAAAATTCCGTTGTATGGGGGCTATACGGAGGTGTGGACCTGCAAAGAAAATTGTCGGTCCTAGGCTGTATTATCCATTACGAACTTCAAATACCAAATTTGAAACAATTGCGGTGAATAATGTCGCTTAAATCACCAAAATACCGAATTTTGTGAGTTACCGTTATATGAGGGATATACGAAGTCGGTGACCTGCACAGACAATTCTAGGTCTTAGGCTGTAGTATCCATTACGAACTTCAAATACCAAATTTGAAACAATTGCGGTGAATAATGTCTCTAAAATCATCAAAATACCGAATATTGGGATATACAGTTATGTTGGGGCCATACGAAGACGTGGACCTGCACACACAATTTTCTGTCATAGGCTGTAGTATCCATTACGAACTTCAAATTCCAAATTTGAAACAATTCCGGTGAATAATGTCGCTTAAAGCACCAAAATTCTGAAAATAAGGATGTACCATTATATGGGGGCTATACCAAAAAGTGGACCTACATGGTCCATTTTCAATACCAAAAGTCCTGCAGACATAATATACATTTGAGTAAAATTTTATCAACCTACTCCATTTCATTCGGAAGCTATAGTGATTTCCACAGATGGACGGACATCGCTTAATCGGCGTAGAATTTCATGCTGATCAAGAATACGAGTTAATATACTTTGTTGGATCTAAATTTTATATTTCGAGGTGTTACAGACGGAATGACAAACTTAGTATACCCTCCATACTAAGGTGGAGGGTATAAAAAAGGAAGTAAACGTTTACTTCGTTAATTTTGTGATATCCTATTTGCCTTTAACTTTTTAATACCTGCAAGCCAGAGTGAAAGGAACGAGATAATACCACCCAACTTATTCTGGGAGGCAGAACCATAAAAAGTCACAGGAATGAAAGATAAATTAAAAGCAAACTATTCTTCCAGGAAAACAGCAATTGTTTTAAACTGTATAACTGTTGTTCTTGTTCTTCCTTCTCTTTGTTATTATTCTTTTTTTTTCACAACAAAAACGAAAAAATATTTCCCGCAGAGTTGTAGTGTCCTCGTTTTGCAGTAATATATTCCGACAAATGCTATTACAAAAGTGCAAACATATTTACAAAGGATTTCCACCCACCACCCCTTGGTTTACTTAAAATTTCTCTGAACATGAATTTAATTTGTAATTTGTATTAAGTAGTTCTGCAAAAATGCTTGGCCTCCAATAAGGTGAATGAATTGTCATCACCCGGGTATTTCAATGAAACGTGGCAGCTAGACACTAATCAAGCCTTACAAAATCGAACTGTGAGAAAATGTACTATCGTGTTCTCCCAAGGGAAACTTGAAGGAAAACCAAAAATATTATATTTTCCAAGAATTTTTCACCAATGACCCTGAATGGTAAATAAACAGGGAAGCTTTTTGGGAATACCACCAGCCATCCATCCATACTTCCATTAAAAAAAGGCCAAATGTCAAAATATTTGCTCGAGCCCACTGCGTAAAATTAACAAAATATTTTCATTTCCATTAAAGAGCTTTTAGTTCAACAAAATCAAATCAAAGCCACATCCATTTTCAATGAAGTATAAATACATATGTTCGAATGGGTTTGTGTGTGTGCCAGTTGTCCGAATTTAATTCCTGGAAACAGAAATAAAAACAGCTTCCAAATATATGAACAAATGAGGGAGGATACGCCACGTGGTCTAAAATTTGTAGGGTTTTCCAGTATGCTACACAAGTTTTGTTATCTAGTTCAAGTTGAATAGAAAAATAGAACTTGAGTCGAACCTGGAGAGTTTCTAGTGTATAATTCGCATATGCTAATTTGCAATAAGTTCGAAATATATACTACTTTCCAGAGAACGGCCCTTGTAAGCCATCATCCACACCAAATATGCCTGATGAGCCGCTTAACCAACGGCGAAACGCGTCGCATAGTGGTGAGTGTGTGATAGTGTCTATCTGGCTTTCCTTTTCACTGCAAATTTCAGATCATTAAGCTCGTCTCGAAAGAGAAAACAAACACATAAAAAATTTAATATAATTTTGTTTAATTTAAGGGTCTAAATAAAGGGAGGTCAAAAATCTTCATAGGAATGGCATTTTTCTTTATTTGCACTAAAAACTGAAGGCATGGAGAAGGCAGTTAGGAGACAGGTCGCTCAATTTGTGTTTTTTGTATTAAGAAGTTTTGCCATATTTTTCACGAACATTTTAGAATACGCAGGGTGAGATAAAAAAACTGCAACGCCAAATTTGTAAATTTTTTCAAATTTTATAAAATGAAATCAAAAATATCGGAAATAGCATCAAATTTTAGAATAAGTTTATATTTGTTCGAATATGTCACCTCTCGCACGAATTATGGCCTTCAAACGGCCAATGAAACCTTTACACACTGCCCAAATGTTGCAATGTGGTATTTTTGAATCATTCCCGGCGAAGCTCTTGCTTGAGGTGATCTACACTTTGGTATTTTTTAGTGCCAACCTTGCTTTACAAAATACTCCAGACACAATAGTTCAACGGATTGGTATCCGAAGATTTTCGTGGCTATTGTGCGCTGGAAATGAAGCGAGGAACCTTATTCTGCAACCATTCTTGGATGGCGCGAGCTGAGTCCTGTTGGAATGCCCAAGGTCTGCGGCCAAAATGTTTGCGTGCCCAGGGCTTTAATACACCCTCCAGAATATTTTCCCGATAATATTTGACATTTATTCTGATGCCACGGTCGATTAATACGAGCGGCTCACACCATCACGATGGTCGGCGCTTGAGTTCTGGTGGCCAACCGAAGGTGCATATTTTCAGCTGATCTCTTTGGCAAGTAAACACGATCATTTACAAGCTGCTGGACAAATGCAAAATTTTAGCTTCTGTTTAATTCGTTTTGATTCTAGCATGATTACAATAGAGGGACAGGGCTAATTCGTCTTAGAATTTAACGCTGATATATCTATACACGTACTTTGTCAGGTCTAAAATTATTACTCCGATGAGTTACAAACGGAATGACGTACTTAATATACCCTCCATACTATGTATGGTGGAGGGTATAACAAGTTAAAAAGCAGCTAAGTTCGGCCGGGACAAATATTTTATACCCTCCACCATTTGGAAGAAATTTGAAAAAAAAATCCGTCGGAAAATACCGTCGAAAAAATAAATACCCCCTCACCTCCCTTTTTCGGGAGTCCAAATAGACCTAAGGTCTAAAACCGTTATTTTGATGGGGCACGTTTTCGCCGTATCAAATTATATATACCCTCTCTAGCTCTAGATATTACATATGTGCTTATTTGTTTGAGACCTCTTGACAAAAAAGCTCAGATTTTTGCTTAAAGCCGCCTTCAGACATCACACTGCTTTTTAAATTTTAATTCCTTCGTTTTAAACTTTAACTCACATTTTATCGTTGCAAAACAAGGTAAACGCCATCCAAACGTCTAAAAATAACTAACAAACGCCATCAACACACTGTAGCACTGGGTCACTAACTGGGTTGACCATTGTTGTTAGCCTTTTTTTAAGTCAGTATTTTTTCAATTTCCTGCTGCGTTATGGCAATACTTCTACGAATTTGTAGCACAGAGATGTTGTACAAAAACTACACTTCCATAGCTTTGAAAATTGTTTGTAATTTGTTCAGATTTCATTGGAATTTTCTTTAAACTAAACAACTGACAGTTGAACGTTTTCCCCTTTAGCTACATAGTTTTCAATCGCATTTCGAATTTATTTTTGCAACTAAGGAAGTAATTTAAGGCGCCAGTAAGAAAACTTCTTAGAAATAAGAATATTATTTTGGGGTATTATGTTCTAATTGGAAATAAAAATTGCTATTGAAAATTGAAAAAATAAAGGGTAAATCTTAAATGTCGCTTGTGGTAAAAAAGGTTAGAGATGAAAAAGGTTTCAACCATGTAATCGGTTTGGTTCAATCATTTGTAAGATATAAATTAAAAGTAATGCCTATGGACCTATATAGCCCATTCTCAATACCAAGAGCTCTGCAGACCAAACACACATTTAAGTAAAATTTTATCAACCCACTTCAATTTGGTATTGAAAATGGGTCATGTTGGTCCACGTTTTGGCATAGCCCCTATATAATGGTATCTCTCTATTTTCGCGACATTATTCACAGAAAATGTTTTAAATTTGGTATTTGAAGTTCGTAATGTATACTATATACAGTAAAAATGTCTGTGCAGGTCCACTCCTTCGTATAGCCCCCATATATAACATAACGGCGCATCCCGATATTCGGTATTTTGATGATTTTAGCGACATTATTCATTTTTGATTTTAGCGACATTTCAAATTTGGTATTTGAAGTTCGTAATGGATATTACAGCCTATGACAGAAAAATGTCTGTGCAGGTCCACGTCTTCGTATAGCCCCCATATAACGGTGGTGGAGTGTATTCAAAGTTCAACCCGGCCGAACTTACATCTTTTTGACTTGTTTTTTTGTTAGTTTTGAGGATCTTCATAGAATCACTTTCTGAGTCGATTTATGGATGTCAGTCAGTCCGTCAGTCCATGTATTTTTGTGAACAAAATTCAGGTCGATTTCATAATCCGATTGAGATGAAATTTTCGGATGAACTTTATTGAAATTGGTGAGAATCGGTTCAAATTTATATATAGCTCCTATACACATAGCTTCAAACGATTTCGGGTTAATTGTGCATCAAATGGCCAATATCAGTCCAACTGTCCTGAATTTTGACACATCCCACCGCATTCAGTCTAGAAGGATGTACATAAAATTTAGAAAATATCGGTTCAGATATATCAACAGCTCCCATATATATGTTCCATCCGATCTGGTGTTTAAGTTTCTCATTCGTAATATGCACTTCACAAAAATGATATTTGGTACCAGATATCAGATATAGCCTAAAACTACCTCTGTCAAATTTTATCGAGATCGAATCAGATTTGGATCTATCTATCTCTTTATCTGATTTCAGGTTTTTTATGCACCAAATTAGCCCAACTCAACTGAATTTCAGAACATGCGATCGAATTCATCCTAGAAACAAGTACTTCAATTTGCTGAAAATCGATTCAGATATAGCTATAGCTCCCATATACATTGTGCGATAAAAAACTGCAACAAAGTCAGACGCCATAATTTTTAATTTTTTTTTTTTAATTTTATTGAATGAAAGCAACTAATGTCGTAAATAGCATCAAATTTTAGAATAAGTTTAGATTTGTTCGAATTGGTAACCTTTGGCACGAATTATGACCTTCAAACGGCCAATGAAACCGTCACACGCTGCCCGAATGTTGCTCTGCGGTATTTTGGCCCATTCCCGGAGAAGCGCTTTCTTGAGGTGATCGACACTTTGATATTTTTTAGTGCCATCCTTGCATCCAAAATACTCCAAACACAATAGTCCAACGGATTGGTATCCGGAGATTTGGTGGCTATTGTGCGTTGCAAATGAAGCGAGGAACCTCATTTTGTAAACATTCATGGGTGGCGCGTGCTGAGTGCGATGGTGTTCTGTTGGAATATCCAAGGTCTGCGGCCAAAATGTTTGCGTGTCCAAGGCTTTAATACACCTCCAGAATATTTTCGCGATAATATGAGCGGAGGGCGACCATCGGCTGTTATGACCATCTAGTGGCCAATCGAAGGTGCACATTTTTAGCTGACCTCTTTGGCAAGTAAACACGATCATTTTGTTTCCTTTCCGTTGCGGTGTAAGTTCTTGCACTTTTTGAAATTTCAGTGGCTTTATCCCGAGCTCATTCTTCAATATTTGCCGAATGGAATATTGCGATAAGTTCAGCTTACGAGTCACTTCTTTAGTTTTCGAACAATTTCTGCTGATGTTGCTGTTTCCTTCCGTCCTGACGTCGGGCTATGCTACCAGTATCATGCTTGAAATTCATCACGAATAACTTTTTTTCTGGAAAATTCTCACCAAAATGCTTTTGTACGGTTGTAAACAATATAATAAGCTGTCAATGGAATAATTTCAACAGCTGTCGGACGAGTGGCTTAGAAATGACAGAAGTCTGAATTTGGTTTCAGTTTTTTCATCTCACGCCGTTTTTTCATCTCAACAGTTTCTTCTTATCCCAGTTAGATCGAAAATATCAAAGAATCATGTCTTCTTTTAGTCGCCTAAGATTAAACAGGTATTTTATGTGGTTTTAGAAGATGAATGATTTTCTCGAAATAAAAATGGGCCTACCAAACTTCTCCATTCGACCCATGCCATTCCACATAGTACCCATACAAAATTCCAAGAACAAACATTAATTAAATTCACATGACACATACATATGCACATGTAATTTTATCCTATCATATTACAACTTTAAGAAACTAAAATTCTCCATCTGAGCTGGCAAACCAAACCCAAGTTCTTGTTCTACGAATTAATCTTTGATTAGCAAGATTATCATTGCATAGAAATGTGGTAATTTTGTAATTCTAATCACTTTCCTCTGCTCTCTCTCTCTCTCTCTCTCTCTTTATCTTGTTGTCCTCCATGTTCATGTTACTCATTTTCGTCTCCTTCTTCTTTAATTTCATTGCAGATTATCACACAGAAGGGCACCAAACCACCCATTGTTGTGGTCGGAAATAAAATCGACATGGACGAGAGTGAGCGCCAGGTCGAATACGAGGTAACTGAAATGGTCGTGTGTGAAGACTGGCACTGTGGCTACATCGAATGTTCGGCCAAGGAAAACACGGGAATCGTACAGATATTCAAAGAGCTTTTGGTGCAGGCCAACATACGCTACAATCTAAGTCCGGCGGTGCGACGAAGACGTCAATCGTTGCCATCGTTTACATCGGCCAAAGGCAGCAAAAGTCCATCGCATCGTGGCGCCTTTAAACGACATTCATGCACCATGACTTAAGGGATTACATGAACAAGGACTGACACTGAGAACAGAGCTATGATTTCGTGGACATTGCCGCCATACATCATCATCATCGTCAGCTGAGTTGGTGGTAGTGAAGATGGATAATTGCTATAGAGTCCGTTGTTGTTTTGGAAATTTCACTGGAAGTTGTTTTTTTTTTTGGTTGGTCCAGGTATTCATGAAATTACTCAATGTCTGCAATGGAATTATGAATGTGAGTGTGTGAGTGTTTTTCTAAGAACATATGACAATTGGATTTAAATGATGACAAATAATAAATTCTAACAAACAGTTGAAATGCACCAATTTACACAAGAATATAAGAATTTGGGAAAAAAGTTTTGGGAGAGACATAAGAAAATAAAAACCAATTTCATACGCTGAATTCGAATTTGAGGTCGTTGTGATGAAAATTATCTCCAAATACTAAAGATATTTTAAAACTCATTTTAAATTGTATTATTGTAGTTTTTATTATTTGAAGAAAAGATTCCTAAGGAAATAAATTCAATATAGAATTATATATACGAAGAGGCTAGGCGTTTAAATATAAACAAGTAAATAGCAGTATGTTGGGCCTTTGAATACCCTCTACCATATGGAACGAATTTGGAAAAAAATTAAATCCATTAAAAATTATGTTATCTTAAAAATAGCGAATATAGAAAGTCGCCGGTATATTTGGGTCTATACGAAGACGTGGACCCCTGCATAGGCATCATTTGACACATTCAAATATGAGATTTGAAAAAAAAACGGTGAATAATGTAGCTAAAATCGTAAAAATACCGTATATACGAAGGTACCGTTATATGGGCCCTATACCGTTGTATGGGGTCTATACGATATCGAGAAACAAGGCAAATATCTTCCACATTTTATATTTTCAAAATGTTTAACTTTTGTGGGGGAGGCACGTGAATGAGTGAACCGATATTGATTATTTTCGCGTGTGATTGATGATTTGATAGTTTTGAACTTTTGTGAGCGATAATTTTATTCTGAATTTTTTTTTTTTTTTTCAATATTGCGATTACGTGCTAATTTTAGAAAGTAACACAAGAAGTGAATCGTTTTCATACTTGATCCCGAAATACCTTAGGCAGCATAGTACCTGGCATAAGCCCTATATGAATATTATGGTGGGGAACCAAAATGTATACTCCCTTCGATTTCAGTAGGAATTATTATACCATCCGCTATATGGAGAATATATTACATTTTAGAACCTCGAAATAGACACTGGAAAGTTTATATATAACTGATCGGTATAAGATTTTGCGTCCTTTTAGCCATGTCCTTCTGACTTTGCGAATCACTCTAACGACAGGCCCACTTTTTTGTGTAGCCCCATAAAAGGTTACTATCCGATATTCGGTATTTGGTTGATTGTAGGCACTGATTTTTCAAGTTCGGTGGCAGATACGTGTTTATCCAGATCCACGTTTTCGTTTAACATCTCTAAATATTCGTCGTAGACCCCACGGTGTGATAAAAAAAAAAAACTGCAACAAATTCAAACGCCATAATTTTTACATGTTTTTTTTTTTCAATTTTATTGAATGAAAGCAACAAATGTCGGAAATAGCATCAAATTTTAGAATAAGAGTGGATTTGTTCGAATTGGCCACCTTTGGCACGAATTATGACCTTCAAACGGCCAATGAAACCGTTACACGCTGCCCGAATATTGCTCTGCGGTATTATGGCCAATTCCGGGCGAAGCACTTGCCTGAAGTGATCGACACTTTGGTATTTTTTAGTGCCAACAATGCTTTCCAAAATACTCCAGACACAATAGTCCAACGGATTGGTATCCGGAGATTTTGGTAGCCATTGTGCGCTGGAAATGAAGCGAGGAACCTCATCTTGTAACCATTGGGTGGTGCTAACTCCGGTTGGAATGCCCAATGTCTGCGGCCAAAATGTTTGCGTGCCCAAGGCTTCAATACACCCTCCAGAATATTTTCGCGATAATATTCGGCATTTATTCTAATGCCACGGTCGATTAATACGAGCGGAGAGCGACCATCGGCTGTTGTGGCGGCCCACACCATCACCATCTGGTGGCCAACCAAAGGTACTTTTGGAATATCAATGGCTTTATCCTGAGCTAATTTTTCAATATTTGCGAATGGAATATTGCGATATGTTCAGCTCACGAGCCATTTTTCGGCCACTGCGACGCGGGTTTCAATCAAGTCGCTTCTTTACTTTTCGAACCATTTCTGCTGATGTTGCTGTTTTCCTCCGTCCGCTTCCTTGACGTCGGGCTGGTAGAGACACAAAAGATTTATTCACATTTAAATGCTGAAGTGCTCTAACAATAGCTACTTGTGGGTTTCCAGCCAAATATAAAGAAATCACGCTTGAGTTCCATCACGAATCACTATTTTTCTGGAAAATTCTCACCAAAATCCTTTTATACGTTTGTAAACAATATACGGAGCAGTCACTGGAATAATTATAACAGCTGTCGGACGAGTGACTTAGAAATGACAGCAGTCTAAAATCGGCTGCAGCTTTTTCATCTCACCCTGTATATTTTTGATCAACATTAAATTCTAAGTCGATATAACAATGTCCGTCTGTCTATTGAAATCACGATATTGTGTCTAGAATGGTTGGTATTAAAAATGAGATATATCGGCTCAATGAGGGACATTTTGTCACATTGTTGCACGGATTTGTCTAAAAAATTGGTATTTGTAGGTCATAATTGGTTCTAGCTCTGGTGGCAGAACCCGCCAATGTTGACCATTTGTGGAGGACTAAACGGTCTGACCATTAGAAGACCTAGTTTGCGTAAAATCTAATGATACTTTCTCTTTCTAGAAGGTAAATTATTTTCTTTGAAAATTTTGACCTTTTGTGGGGGTTCTCGATCTAAGTTTGATAACAATATTACGATGAACCAAGTTTGAACCCAATCAGATACTCCCTTCAAGAGTTCTCGTACGCACCAGCCAGCCAGACGGACGGATAGACATCCCAAGATCGACTCCATATGGCCAAAGATATCCAGGGTCTAAAACCGTTGTTTCGATTAGGCACGTTTTGGCCGTATCATATGATTTATACCCACTGTATCATATAATTTACTACATACAAAAAAATTATTCTTTGCACAGAAAAAGAAGGAGCATCCGTCTTTGCTCCGACTTTGCAAATCCTAATATTTGCATAAGTGCAAGGTCAGGTGCGAAAATGGAAAACATCGTTCCACTCCATTTAGTACCTTCGTACAAGTCATATATATATCTACATATTTCTCTCAACCAGAAAACTAAGGTGAATATGGAATTTACGATTTCCCATATACTTCGATATAAATGTTGGATTTTCTTGTAATTTTGCCCATATTAATATTTTTATCTGTATACCTGGTAAATCACGCACATTTCAATATTTTCTAAAAATTATCACACATCTCATATAAAGTATAACCAATATATTCCAAACCTGGCACGTTGTTATATTAATATCACATTTATTTAGGTCCGATACAAAATGGACAATATTGGACCATTCCTTCAAAACCTACTGAATAGAGGGTCAAACATTTGAATAATCATAACAAAAGTCAAAATATATTTGAATAATCAAACATTATCTGAGGGTATACATCTGTTGGCAAAACCGACTGATACTTTTTAACTTGTTGAATTTACATTTTAAATAAAATTTTATTTCCAAATTAAACCGTTTAAATTCGAATTCAGCGTATGTCTTCTAATCAGCATTATTGGTGTCTTAGTTTAGTAATTATTATAAGGATATGAAATACGTTATATTTATATATATATATATAGAATATACGTAACATTTTATATGATTTTATTAAAATATAATGTTTTTTACATAGATGTTAATAATTTATTAAAAAAAATATAAAAAATAAATAAAATTATAATATAAGGCAGAAAATTAGCTGAAAAAAGTCGCACAAAATTAAAAAAAAAAGAAAAACAATGTAAAAAATGAAACTTAAGATTTTCATTTAAAACCCATTCTCTGATAACAACCCAACTAATATTGAAACCATGTCTGCAAAGAAACTTCTTAAAATTGTTCGAAGTCAATTTAATAAGAAATCTGAACAAGATTTAGGAACTTTTAATGCGTATTGAAAATTATATACCGCTAACCGAATAAAATGCATACTTATCCCAATAAAAAATTTATGAAAAATAGACAACCACCATAGAGCGTATAATAAAATATAATATTATAAAACACTAAGCTACAGCTTCACTCCAAAATACCCAGTTAAACTAATAATTTATACCGATTTCCATTTTTAGACCAAAACAAAAAAAAAAAAATTGCTTTAAATATTTTTTCGTATGAAGTCTTATTTTTTGTACTAAATGTAAGTTACATATATTATGAAAACAAAAATACTGAACTTATGGAATAAAACAACAACAACAACAATTTTATATTTATGTACGCTAGCTATGTAAGCTGTTTTTTTTAAATAATAAACAAAAATAACATTTAAGTATAAGATGAAGACGAAGAAGAATGATAAGAACAAGAATAATTTTTTGATATTATGAAACTGAAGGTTTGCAAAACAAGACAAAAAGAAAAAACATACAAGCTTACTAAAATAAAATAAGTTTTTAATAAAACAAACGTTGATTTGAGAGGCAACCTATTTTGTGTAATAAAATAAAATAAAAAATGGAAATACAAAATAAATCCACTGTTTTTTTATTTTCTTTCGTAAGATTTGGGCCGATGCATGGTAGAAGAATGCAAGTAGTCGCATCGCATCGCAGTAGCTGGGACAAGGAACTGGCAAACCAAGTTTGGAATTGAAAAATTTTGAATGAAAAATGATTCAAATTTGTAACAAGTAAAAAAGCAGCTATGTTCGGCCGGGCCGAACTTTTAATCCCCTCCACCTTTGGAAGGAAATTGAAATATTTCAAAGAACTTCCGAAAACTACCACTTTAATGAAAACTGGTACATGGACCTGCTTACGAAATTTGTTGTCATGGGCTGTAGTACCCATTACGAGCTTCAAATACCAAATTTGAAACATTTCCGGTGAATAATGTAGCTAAAATCATCAAAGTACCGAATATCGGGATATACCGTTATATTGGGGATATACGACAACGTGAACCTACATACGAATTTTTTGTGTCATTGTTACAATTCCGGTGAATAATTTCGCACAAATCATAAAAATACCGAGTACTGGGACGTACCGTCATATGGGGGCTATACGAAAACGTGGACCTGCATACACAAATTTTTTTCATAGGCTGTAGCACCCATTACTAAATTCAAATACGAAATTTTTTACAATTCCGGTAAGTAACGTCGCTGAAATCATGAAAATACCGAATATCGGGAGGTACCGTTATTTAGGTGGTATGCGAAGACGTGGACCTGCAGTACCCATTATGAACTTCAAATACGAAATTTTCAATAATTCCGGTAAATAA